ATTCCAGTTGCGATCAACTCAAGAACATGACCGCTCAATATGTGTATTAAACCCCTTCTAATACGATACCAAGCTCTTTGGGTTGAATCATATTTAAATTCGATTGAAATCGTGGTCTTTTCGTAGCCCGGTCTAGGGGCCCGAAAAAGCGGTCTGGCGGAGGCCGTCAATCGCCCGAACTTGACATTCGCTGTTTCGCCAAAATATTTATCCAATGAAACTAAAATTCATATTTTCATTACTAGAATACCTAGGGGAGTCTACATAATTTTTTTGGGATTTTTCAAAAATTTTATTTTTCCCGCCTCTGGTCGATATTTACAGACATTCGCTCTTAACGATTATATTCAGGTTCAAAAAGAGGAAGGAAAATTCGTCGTCGTATGTCCACGTCCCCCATAAAACGTCAAATTAAGAGGTTTCACGTCGTAGTCGTGCATTGGACGTCAAAGAAATGTACTTAAAAGCGTGATGCACGCGCAGAGCTGTTGTTTTTATCATTAAACCCCCTTTGTTTTTTTGAAGTCGTCGTTGGGGTCGTCGTCGTAGTTGCTTAAGCTCCCTAGTAAAACGTTGAAGTCGTGGCTTCGTTTTTGGGGTGAAGCTTCAGCCCTAAAATTGCATACCTTTTGATATTAAGGAAATTGTTGTCGTCGTCTCCTGCGTTGAAACCAATAACAGGTAGGAACTCATAGTCGGTAAAATATTTGTAGTTTGACCTGTAAAAAGGGTGGAAAAAGGCATTTCTGTCTGTTAAAAATGTATATGTTATCTTAAGCCAGAAAACACTCATAAGAGAAGGTCCCCCGACGGGCTACTCTTTTCGGGACCTGGTCTATATATTTCCAGGAAGGTTGTCAATGCTTTCAGCTTCAACAGTACCTGACCTGTTTCGTGACAACAAAATCCAACAGTCAGTTCATTGAGAACAAGGTTTGAAAATATATATTTCATCTGCCTTTGTGTATTGACAAACTATTTCAGCTCCTTGAACTATTTGTAATGAAAATCACGCAAAATTCTCATGAGTTAATTAACAATTATTCCACGAGTGCGCGTTGGATATGAGATGGCCGCAAAGAGGCAAAGAGATGCGTAGCGCCGAGTTAGCTATAATCATCTCATATCCAAAAAGCTTGAGTGGAATAATTGTTTTATTAAAAACAAAAAAAAAATAAATTTCGTTACATTTGTAATAAGTTTTCAATATCTTTACGATAAACCCTGTTTCTTGAGGGTTTTTTTGTAAACTATAGGTATGCAGAAATGCCTCCCCACGTCCGCTACTATGACCTTTTCCGAATCAGTACCTAACCTTTGATGGCGACTCATTTGTTAAGCAGGGATGACGACGACGGCAGTGAAAACGTCGGTAAAAAAATGAATTTGCGTGGTTTCAAACTTAATCGCGTCTATTTTGACCCACTCAATATGTAAAATGCAGGCGACTTTTCCTGGAGTTGAATTCTTAAGGATTATATTCAGGTTTAAAAAGAGGAAGGAAAATTCGTCGTCGTATGTGCACGTCCCCCATAAAACGTCAAATTAAGAGGCTTCACATCGTAGTCGTGCAGTGGACGTCAAAGAAATGTACTTAAAAGCGTGATGCACGTGCAGAGCTGTTGTTTTAATCATTAAACCCCCTTTGTTTTTTTGAAGTCGTCGTTGGGGTTGTCGTCGTAGTTGCTTAAGCTCCCTAGTAAAACGTTGAAGTCGTGGCTTCGTTTTTGGGGTGAAGCTTTCAGCCCTAAAATTGCATACCTTTTGATATTAAGGAAATTGTTGTCGTCGTCTCCTGCGTTGAAACCAATAACAGGTAGGAACTCATAGACGGTAAAATATTTGTAGTTTGACCTGTAAAAAGGGTGGGAAAAGGCATTTCTGTCTGTTAAAAATGTATATGTTATCTTAAGCCAGAAAACACTCATAAGAGAAGGTCCCCCGACGGGCTACTCTTTTCGGGACCTGGTCTATATATGTCCTAGTGGAATCCCTAATTGGCTCTTTAAAGGACAAACACATTCTGGCCTCTACTTAGCCTACTCAATTACTCTTATATCACGATACCGACCTAACTAGCTAGGCTCCCTAGTTCGTCGCCGTTATAATTATTTGCTACTTCTATTCAACCGTTCCAACAGGCATTACTTCAGAGAATACATTAATGCTATTTGAAGTGCAGATTATTGTAGTGCATCATGTATAAACATCGAATGTTCCATTTTAAAATTTGCATACTAACTCAGCACTGCTAATACCCTGCGAGAAGTGGATTTTTTAAGGCCGGACGCTACGCTAGAGAGGGCGATAAACTACTACGAGCGACCGTTTGCTTCTTTTGATCGAGCCCCCGTCCAGCGCCATGGACGAATAGATTAACTTTGATCAGGTTAAAAACTGTTTAAAAACAAGTTAAGGCTCTCGCACATTTGGTTACGTAGCCCGCATAAGTGAGCCTGCTAGCAGGCTATTGCTTACGCTTACAAGTGCTGCCTTAACGCGAGCCTGATGGGAATTTCCGCTCTTTTTCGCTCTTTGTCAATCGCAGGAGAACCCAAATGGAGTTGAATTCCTAGGGACTAAATCCGAATTTAATTTTAATTTGATCACGTTTACATGATAGGTGGGGTGACCCGCCACATCTTACCTCACCTATCTAGGGTCCCCCACTTTGATGCAAACAGGCCCTTAAATTCCTTTATGTCTCTTGCGAAACAAGAGGAAGTGAAGTCGTTTGACGTTTTCACTTAGGCATCACGTGGAGCGCATGCTCGATGGAAAAGCAAACGGTTGCTTGCTTAAGAAACCACTCCTCCTAGGTTACACTGTTAAAGATTGCCAAAATTTAGGCTATATTATAAAGGGTAGCATTGGTCACAGATATCTCACGAAAAAGGAGCACCAAAATATCTAGTGTGGGCAGCTGTTGATACCAGGCCGGTGATAAAATGACAAGTAACGATTAGACGTAATAGACTCTCCTTGTTTGATAACTGAATCATACAGCAGTTTTGTATGCGGCCTTCAGAATTATCACTTTTCTTTCTTACGGACATCTGACACGACATGACTGCATGGTGTTAAAGCTTTTATGGAAACTGTTAACACAAAAACTTTAACCGACAAATTTGACAGCGTGTACACATGCTTTTTATGAATCTATCCTAATATTACTTCTTGATTCCATTCCATAACCTTTCTTATCATTTTTCGAGAATAAAGTTCCTTTTAAGTGCAAGCTGCTTATACCTAGTTTTTGCTATCTGAGTATTTTCTCCTGCAATGGTGAAGGGGGAATTCCAAGGGGCGAGTGTTGGGGAGAGTCGATGGAGGGGGTGATTGAATGTGCATAATAATTCAGGGTGCTTTGCACTTACCGGCTTGTTGGAGCAGAATATTGAATGCCGTTATGAGGATAGTTAAATATAACGAAAGAGAATATGTTGTCAGTGACGATAACTGCTTGAAATGTGTTCCCCTGAAAACAAAGTAAACTGAAATCACAAGTTACATCAATGATTTTGGCTTACTTAACAACTATTTTCTAATAATTACCAAACATAAAGGAGCGTAAAGCACAGTGCAAACGGACGCCATATTGTTAACCAACAACTCCTAACATTGTTGGATGTTACATGTTGCGCCCATTTGCACACTCACTCTGTTGCTTTTGTTCTTGTGTGTTGTTGGGAGTTGTTGTGCAAAGTTTGAAACCGGTCAAACTTTTAGCCACGGGCAAATGGACGTAACAATTCCCAACATTGTTGGCCAACAATGTTGGAAGTTGTTGCTTCCTTTTGCACTTAGCTTAGTGCTCGTAACGCTTCATGGGCATCTAACGACCAAACGTGAAAAATACGTCAAAAGTGTCTGAAATGGTTTTCTCTATGCCCTAGAAACCTGTTTGGTTAATTTGAAGCTTTTCTAAAGCATTTTTATCCGTTGGGATACCGTAGGGGAACTTTGGCCGTCTCGAAAGTTTTAAGGTGGCTTTTTGCATTTGTTTCCGCCATCCGAAACTGTTAACTACTCGAGGACATGGGGTTAGTGTACCTTTATAGGAAGATTCTAGGGGACGTATAGTGTTTTTACCGAAATATTCAGGTTCCCTTTTTAAACAATAATCGCAATAACTTGGTAATATAATTTGTGAAAAACACAACCGCCGAAAATCGTTGTAAGCTTTTTAGTAAAAAAAATGAGAGCTACTTAGGCACCGTTTAAATGAAGACAAGTTGTCCTGGAAAGACAGCCACTCTCCCAGCCTAGTCAAATTATGCCAGCGTTTATATGAGAAAAAAAATTGACCCCATTGTCTGAGCCAGCAGCGTTCACGCACGCTCTGATTGTCTCACCTTGACTGAGCTGTTGACCCGGCTGGGCGAGCCAAAGTGTTCATATAGTAAAGTGGGTCCGTTTAGAGGGTGAACCCCCACCATTAAAAAAGAATGAGCCCGTTCTAGCCGTGTCAACCTTATGTTTCTAGTTAAACGGCCGTGGTTCGCCATGCTTTTTAAGGGAATGTAGGAAAAGTTGGCACGCTGAAAGTAGCGCGGGTAGGCGGAGTAACTCTTCCGTACCCGGGACAATTTTTTGTCCATATAAACGAGGCCGTAGACAAATGGACAGTTATCCAAGAGCCTAGGGCAGGATATCCATGCAAAATTAATGGAGTCCTGATAAAGCGTATATTTTCGTATATATTGGATTGGCTAACAGAAAACGTGCCCAGGCTCCAAGTGTCAACAAGGCTTAAGTCTTACCAGGGTTTCCGTAAAATCATTCAAATCCGCGGGGCGGAGATTCACCCATGTCACAACACAAACCCAGGAGGCTTGGAATGTTTTTCCTTCTGGAAGTTTGCTTTGGTATACACTCAGCACGTCAGATGTAGCCTTGCTTAAGGTTTCATAGGCTCCTTGTCCGGTATAGATGTGATAATACACTTTGGATATCGAATTGGTGAATGAGCGTCCAAGATCGACTCGTGTCCAGTATGGTGCTATTATTGAACTAAATCTCAACCACCATCTTTGACCAAATGGGTAAGGGCGCTGATTTATTCTATTCCTTTCAAACTGGATTACGCCATTTGGACATATCTGACATCGTGATACAAAAAATACAATATTAATGGATCGGGATTTTTAAAACTGATTGCAAAAGGAGGAACACTTGAGAATATCTATTCGTGTTAAGAGAACAAGCTTGTTCTTGCTGATTTTGCTGCTTCCTTATAACTAAGTATATTAAACTGGAAGCTTAATGGTTACAGGGAGGAGAACATGCATCGCTCCATATGTAACCAATGGGGGTGAAAATGAACAACGCAGTTGTCAAAGGGTAAAAGCACCAATTACAAGGTGTTATCGCTCAGCAAAATCACAAAATCAATGAAAGAACAGCAGTACGAGGGCATCGATATGTCTTGATCAATAAAAACTTGACTATCGTTAAACAAATGATACATAATATTACATACAAAGCATTTTCTGTGACGTTTCCCATAGATTCTTATCCCTCCTCTTGGTATTTTGATTTTTTCACATTTGAGTTTGAAGTCGATAAGTGTGTCTCCTTCGTAAGGGTACAACCGTTTAACAGGCGCTGAAACAGAGATGTATGTGGTTATTATTACAGTACTATTACTATATACAACTATTCCCCGAAGGGGAAGTGAATGGCGGCACTTATACCGAGACGCGAAGCGTCGAGGTATATATCTAGCCCTGTTCACCGACCCTGAGGGGGATAGTTTTTTCAGTATTTACCAAATCAGCTGGATAAAACTGAAAAAAAGTAACTTTTCGTAAATTAAAAACGTCACGTGGTAGGAACTATGTTTACAATTTACAAACATTTCGGGGATTTTGTCAAGTGCACTTTACGATTTTGTTGCAAATTCAGCATGAAAATAATTTTCTACCTAACCAGTGAACAACGAGAAGCCAAAGTTCGTCGCTTTCTTGGTATTTGTTTATACGACTGCTTCATTTATCGCACAAATTTCGTCTTCCGGAAATGTCTCGAAACGAGACACCATCTTGGCTCTGGTTGCAAAACAGTGAATAGCCAAGGATATTCCGAGTTACTGGAGCCATTCAAAACGAGCGAAAATTGCTATTCATTGATTTGGTAAATACTAATTATTATTATTATCATTATCATTATCATTATCATTATCATTATTATTATCATTATTATTATCATTATCATTATTATCATTATCATTATCATTATCATTACCATTATCATTACCATTGTTATTATTATTGTTATTATTATTATTATTATTATTATTATTATTATTATTATTATTGTAATGATGATTTGCAAAAGAAAGCAGTATGTAAAGCAGAAGTCAGTTAATGGTCTGTTCAAATTCACTGTCCTGGATCTCAAAACTAAAAAAAAGAACACACCTTTAGGTAACACATAAAATCTTCTGCTCTAGAACAGTTCAATGCATCACGGATTGTTTTACTTTCCCAACAAGACCCTAATGCACAGATATTCCCTACCGTGGTATGCAGACCCATAATACGGATAATCATAAGTCAGGCCGTCATCGCATTATTTAAGACAAATTTTGGTCCCAACTGAGCCTCGGACTTTTTCTTCCGAGCCGCCTGTTACTGACTTTAAAACATCTACCTAGTCTGTGTTTGTTTAATGAGAAAAAAATAACATCAATATACTAACGTGTCGTTGGTATCATTGTGGTCGTTGGCACGATTACTGTAAAAAAATAGAGAGTAATTTTAGCAAATTTCAATACATGCCTTACTTTATTATTAGCAACCACACCACAAGTATTAAGAGAGATAGATTTCCAAGTGCGGAGAGTTAAAATCTAATTTCTCAAGCGCTCAGTTTTTCCCCTGGTCTGACATAGGTCTTGCTCAATTTGCAGATGCAGGTAATTAATTCGTACTATAGTATGAGAGGGTCAAGATAGTGTCTATCCTAAACATACGCAAAACTTTCGCTATCCTTGTAAGAGCTTGCTTAACCCTTGAGGGTATGCATCTATGAAGACTAAAATGCAGAGCATAGAAGACGTAGTAAAATCTAAAAACTAACGTAATGATTATCTTTTTCTCCAGAGCGAGCCACGCAGACGCTCTCAGTCTGAGTTAATGGTTTAATTAGCTAACTAGGCAACAGATGTATGACCCAAGACCTAAAACAACAACAAGCGTGTTTTCAAGCTTTGCCCAAGGCTAAGCTACCCAGAAACACCCTGCAGTCGAGTGTACGTAGGCTTTGATAGATTGTGCTCGCAACAGTAGCATGATATGCTACTAGTAGTGCTCGTATATTTTTAAAAAAATGCCAATTATTATGTTAGTTTTTTGAGACTTATGCTCATTTTAGCAAAAATGCAGAAATTATGCTTCTATTCTTTACTTTAAATTTGGTAAAAGCACCTCAGTAACCGATGCTGCAAACAAGTAAATTGCAAACAGATTTACCCCATTTAGATCTAAAAAAAAAAAATTAAATTAATTTTTATTTAAGCTCGATAGCGTGAGGAGTGTTTTCCCAATCTCCCGAGCACGGGGCTCATGTATCAAACGCTCGAGCATTCCGGATCGAATTGGAATTTAGAAACGTTGGTTTTTGCGGAGAGGGGAAAACCGGAGTACCCGGAGAAAAACCTCTCGGAGCAGAGAAGAGAACCAACAACAAACTCAACCCACATATGACGTCGAGTCCGGGAATCGAACCCGGGCCACATTGGTGGAAGGCGAGTGCTCTCACCACTGCGCCATCCCTGCTCCCCCAATATCCACTATCTAGCAACTTTAAGAGTTCATAATTCATTGTCTGACAACTATAAAAACTCATTACCAACAATTAACAACAAGCATGTGGACGCCATATAGCTGATCTTAGGTAACCGAGCTAGTTATGCGCATGCGTTGAGATCTGTGGAAAGGGTCCCTGGGTCACTTCCCATGGGACCAAGGTCCCATGAATTCGATAATAAGCAGACATTTGCTTGTAACACTGATCTCGGGCCAAAAAGGTTGTTACATAATCATTAAAAGACAAACATTGTGCAGCACAACTAGCCCGCAAAAGCGCATATTATGCTACCTTTGTTTTCTGTTTTTTTTTTTTTTCTTTGGAAAATAGGTGAGAATTATGCTTGTGTACACGAATTATGCCAACAATTGTGCTATCACAATTTAGCAAAGCCCAGTCGAGTATACTTTAACTGATCGATGATGACGACGATGAATGAAAGAATCAATGGAATGAATGAATGAATGAATGAATGAATGAATGAATGACTGACTGACTGAATGAATGAATGAATGAATGAATGAATTAATTAATGAATTAATTAATTAATTAATGGCTGGATGAATGAATGAATCTTACTTCCTTTGTTGACAGTATTGAAGTAGGTCTTTATGACATTGATAACAAAAAGTACTAGTCTACAATACCTCCAGTGGTTGTAAAATTAACGTCATTGCTTCCGTACACTTTGCCGCTTGACGTGTAACCCAGCACAAACACAGAATATTCGGTTGCAGGCTGAAGAGGAGCCAGTGTGGCCAAGGGCTGGGGAGACCTCGTAAAACTCCAGCCATTTTTAATTTGCTGATTCTCTTCTTTGACCGGCTTATAGAAAATGAAGTACTCTTTGATCTGTTCTGGTATACCAGTATTGGTCCAGGCCACTTGTACATTGTAATCTGTGATAGTCCCAGAGACAAATGAAAGACCTAACAAGCGAAAAATGACACAATTGCCGCTATAATATTTTGTTATCTTAATTTTAGCGTTTCGTCCATCAAGCATAGCCATACAAGTGTCTCCTTTGAGAATTGCTTGTTTCTTCATTATTATTATTATTATTATTATTATTGTTGTTGTTGTTGTTGTTGTTGTTCATATCTCACACCACTAGTTGTATCGTTGGTCACTTATCCCTAGGTCATCAAGCTATTTTCTATAGCCTTAGGTGTCTAGGGTCCTTCTTAAGAACTTTGCTGTTCCCAACAAGCAAGCTTTCTGGAGTAAGTTCAAGATCCCAGGTGTTCCTATCCTAGTAACCCACATAATCAACTTTTTGGTAAGTGCCCCAACATCTTTTGTCCCCCACATCTTTTGTATTTCCACTTTTAAGTCCTGGTAGTGGTCAATCTTCTCTTTTTCTGCAATTCGGGTATCAAAGAACATGCCACATCGATGATTTGGCACACTCTGCTTGCCTTTTCTAGTACGACTATATAGGGCCTGTTATGATCTAAGAGATGGTCTGTTTGAAATTTGAACGCCCACAGTAACTTCACTTGGTCATTTTCCATTACTACCTCGGTAGGATGATCATATACCAGGTTTTATTGGACTGCAGATCGTTATTTTGGCAGAGTTACCAAAGAACAACCTTAGCAACCTGATCGTGCCTCCAGTACTTATATTGCTTTTGAGCTAAATAATTACATTGTTGTTTGTTGTATATCGCTGACATTTTCCTCCCTTTCACCACATAGGCGACACATTGGTCAAACATCTTTCTTGTCAATCGTGTTCCTGATGTAATTAGTCCGCAGCCGGGCCTGATCTTGATTATTATTGTTACTACTATTAATGCTATTATTATTGTTATTATTATTATTATTATTATTATTATTATTATTATCATTATTATTATTATTATTATTATTATTATCATTGTTGTTGTTATTCAAGGATTAAAGTTACAGGACCGATCCATTGCATTTAATGACCCATTGCATTGCTACAATTTACTTACTTTTTCGTTCATATGGTGTAATTCAGCCCTAATTTGGAAACTATTGAGCTTCATTTATACACCATTTGCAACATGGAGAAAGAAAATAGGGAAGGAAGCATTGGATATAAAAAAAATAAATAAATAAATAAAAACACAAGAGTTAGAGTACTTACTTATTTTTGAAACATCAAAGACGACAAAGTAAGTGGCATTGAAGCCTCGATTAGCTGGTCCATCGCCTGTGAAAAAGCCCATATAAGGAGTATCGGTTGTGTGTTCCCAGGAAAGCACAGCGAAGGGACGGTAGGTTCCACAGAACGGGCCAGATATGAACCTCAAAGGGTTAATGCGAGCAACTCCCATCCAATCATTCTGCAAATTTCTGAAATAGAATCAAACGAAAAAAGATAAAACGGGAGGATTGAGAACGTGTGCTCTGGGTATGATTTGCTGCTCAGCTTTCTATCTTTTTATAAGCTTTTAGCTTCCCGCACAGACGAACTTTTGGATCGTTACTTAATCCTCCCCTTCTCGGGAAAGCCTTAAACGCGTGACAAAGCCCTCAAAATGTCTGCAATGGAGGCTAATAAGCTTGCTAGTTGTTTTGAAAAAAAAAACAGTTGGCTAAAAAACTAGTTCTACTCACGTGCAGTTTGGAGCTCCTTCGGAATCCCTGAGGTAGACCGCCTCAAAAGCCACCACCATCCGGAAACGCTGAGGAACATAGACTGGATGGAAACCCCAGTAACACTCCAGATTTCCAGGTATGGTCTGTGGGAACCCAGGACTTGTGAATACACCCATTCTTCCAATAACGTCAGCTTGGTATGCTGCAAAATCAATCAGTTAAGTAATCGAAATATGCCGCGAGCTTTTGGCTGAAATTTCTCCATTCTTTCCTTATTTTTTATACGAATGTTAATAAAGGCTCCTTGAGATATTAATTCTATAGAAACAAGTTTAATGGTAATCAGTGCGGTACAAGATTTTAAAAAGACCCTCATGGCAAACTGGAGTCTAATAAAAAATCAGCCCCTGTTAAAAGAAAATATCTCCGATTATAATTATCCCACAGGTAGATCTCTAAAACACATGCCTTTAAGATGAAAAAATATAACTTGAAGGCAGCTGATAATACGACGTAACCACACAAAAAAAATACATTGGGAATCTGCGCAGGTCTGTCTTTGACTTCCTTTTAACTCATATGTTATGAGTCTAACTAATTTTGGTCTCAAGAAACTTGTTTCACAACACCCCATTGTTGACCCATTCTACAAAGTCTAGTTATCAAAGAGCACGGTAAAGTATTTCTACAGCTAAATTGCGTGCACTTGAAATCTATGATCAACGATTCTTCAGCTTCATAGGAAAAAGGAAGAGTTGAATACCTAGAATCTGCATGTGAGCATCGCTAGAACGAGCCTTTGTTTAACATGGATCATAATCAAAAGCATTTCATTTAAATGAAACAAGGCTGCTTTCAAAGGTACCTCGCCGTTCTCGTGGATCACTCATCGGTCCATCTCCAGCTCTGGTAAAGGCTGCCACCCTGATTTCGTAAGGTGCTGGGCCGCTCTCAATCGTAATATTTGCCTCAAGGGCATCTGGTGGGACAGATTTTGTGTGAAATGCTCCTGTATCGCCAGCGCGATAGAAGACCTTGTATCCACGGGGATTGCCGTTCCACTTGTCGTGAGGAATTGGCCTCCACGTAATATAGAAGAAAGTGGAATCGTCGAGGTAGGTATTTGTCCTTTCTATACTGGGGCGTTCTGATGGCACTACAATGAACAAGACACTCTTGAAGTGTTAACTCGAGGTTGATTGGAGATTAGATAAGAAATGAGGAGGAGATAAATTCTCAGGAAGCCAGTGTGCAGGCAATACACTGTAAACTACTGACTGCCTTATGGTTCATAGAATAGTCAGGCTAGGCATAAAATGGAAAAAGATTATTGTTCAATCGTTACAGTCTATAAATCTAAAGTGGGAATTTCCAATTAAGTCTCGGCAATATGCTGTAATTTCAAGCAGTCTTCCACAGTAACAGGCAATACCAAGAGGCCAAGATCGAGACCCTGCAAATCTACGACATCAAGGAAACATCAATGAGGACGTCAGTATGAAAAATAACAGAATACACATTTCCCAAACTAGAGAACTTCAAAAATAAATAGACTGCTTTAATCTGTAGATCAGTAATTTCCATTGGCCGATGAGTGCTGCAAGTAGAGTGCGTGATGAAGCTTAAATCGTTGATATGTCAGGTATTTATAAAGTATAACGCGACTTCACAACTTAACAACTGCGAAAATCTATCAGTTAAATACATAAAACAAACTGAATCTGCATTATCGAATGTATTTAACTGTAGAGTTCCAGTAATTGCGTCAATATTCTGAGAAAAGCAATGCCTCAATACACCACTAAACATGATTTCCTCCGCTATAATATTTTCACGTCCTACTTTATCGACCGTCGAGTATTCCTCAGGGAATTTGTTTTTCAATACGCGAGTATGAAAACACAAAAATCAAGGGTCTTGGTTCGGGGAAAGATTACATCATTGCTACGTAAAATTACGGAACGTGATCAACTACGTGTATCATCTCAATCATCGCCAAGAATAAACCATAATTATGCTCATCACGAGTCTCATTTGCATACAATGAAAGTTGTCTCGTGGTCTCGTCTCGTGGTCTCCACTAGGAAAGCCTGGGAGACCGACCTCCCTGTTGTGTCCTAAATACGAAGAAGAAAAACGACTTGCAGATTATGACTCTCGGCGCAATGCAACCTTGACTGAACTGAACTTGGTACACTCTTTTCTTTTTAAAATAATTTTGTTTTTCCGGTCCAGGCTGAATATTATTATTTTTCTTACGATTTTGCGCTGAAAATATTCTTGCATTATTCTTAAATTTCCTTTTTAGAATGTATTGTGGTATAAATTGCAATTAATGGCAATGGCACGTTGTTTTCCGTTTTGGTGTCTAGTTTTGCCGATAAGAGAAAGAAATCATTTCACGATTAAGTTACACGATTTTTCAGCACACAAAATTATATTCTTTTCAGCCTTGGGTTTATTCTTATCATATTCTTAAGATATTGCAAATTTAAGCCTTGATATTCTTATAAAATATATTATTTAGGCTCGGCAACTGAAGTGTTTACATAGAGAAACGGAAAATTTGCCCCGACTAGGAGGGTGACCCTACCAATGCAAGTACACTGTACGCTATGAACTAAGATCGTTTTACCTCCTTCGTCAGTCTCCAAGTCTTCGCTCTGACTTCTTTCTAAAGTGATCTCCTCCGTTTGATTGTTATAAATTAAGGCAACAATTTCCACGGAAAAATTAGTTCCGGGTCTCAGACGATGTACTTCCGTTCTGTTTATATTCCCACGAACAGTTGTGAGGGTTGGACCTAGCTTTCCATCGGTAGGTGTACAAACCACTGCATATGCAAATAATTCGAGCGGATACGTCACTGGTGGATGATGATGCCACTCAACTACTACCTTGTCAAGATCTATCTTCGTGATGTTAAATATGATCCAGTTTGGAACACGGGTAGCTAAGAATATATATATATAAATAACCATTAACTATACAGATCGTGTGTTTATATCATTTCTGATTATTTGTGTTAGTAAAAAACGCAAAGCATTTTTCATCTAATGATAAGCGTTCCTTTGCAAGGGATATTTTATGGAATACCAGTGTGAAATCGTTATCACGATTTGGTAGGGAATATCCTCGGCTATGAGAACTCTTTTTTAAACGTCAATTTTCTTGAATGTATTCTGGGCATATCGTAAACGGGACATTTCGAATTAGATTCTTTATAACTCTCCTATTCGCCTTCTTGCTCTTTTCATCGTTGGAAAGTCATGTGATTACCTTTTAGATCTTGGACAGGTATGGAAAATATCGAAAAAAGGATTTTGAAGGGGAGACAACTCTCATTTTGTAAGTGATAACCTGTCTTCCCGTCCTTTTATTCCCCCATACACGTTTCAATTTTCATGGAGTTGCACCCTAAGATAACTAGTAAATAAAGGTTACGCATATGCCTACCTTCCCATGTAGATTCATTTAACACTATATAAACCAATTCAAATCCTTTTTTCTGATCGCTGATATGATTGTGACTCTCATAGACTAAAGGCACCCTGTGCGCTTGCACGAGGACAGGTTTATGTTCAAAGGTAACGCCGCACCATCTTTTTGGTACAACACCACTATCATCTCCAACAGCCACAAAATGGCGCCTGTGGATTAAAAACCAAGACTCTTTGAATTTAGCCTGCGAAAGAACTGAGCCGCTCCTTTCTCCTCGCGAAACGTCTCCATTGGCGAGAGACGAGGAGGAGTGGCTGCTTTTGCCGGATACGTTGAATTACTTTTTATGATTTATTTCTTTAAACACTGAAGCCAGTGACACCATAATTGATAATCCCAGACACATGCATGTAATGTGACCTAGCATTATTTATATCGGTTGTAATCCTATTTACATCCTGGAAGCCTGCAAACTACCCATTTGATTAATTCGAAGACCGTGCCATCAAAATTGCGACGCATAAATTATGAAAAATTATGTAATACCTGAATCGACTCCATAACGACCATCCTACGAGCAAAGCCTCTTTTTTCTTCTTCAGTAAGGAGGAGAAAAGGCAGCTCTGCTTGAATGTCCAACCTTTGAGGTCGCCGAGGCCCAAACTTCTAGACTAATCAATCTCGTTTTCTTTCTTTCTTTCTTTTTGTCATTTATGTTGTTTTATTTTTCTTCCAAGCATCTTATTATTAATAACTACCTATGGTCATAACCGAGCCCACCGTAGAAAGCGCACGGCTATTAGACCTGGATTCGAAACTATATCATAGCAACATGCTGCGTATGCTCAACGAAGATCTTACTCGCTCATGGACGCCAAAATTTAGCAAGCCAAAGAAAGGCTCTGTTGGCAGGGTGGATAGCGACATGCATAAAACGACGACATCGGGAACAACTTAAATGAATAAAATGTAAATCGGTGTAATTAATCTGAACCTCACACATTTGTCTTAATTATTGAGACAGAATCCACCAGGACATTGAGTAATTTTGATTTTCAGTGGACAAAAATCTTGTACCAGAATAATTTAAAGCATATTGCATTCTTTCTTACATTTTTTAAGGGCTAAAGATGTAATAAATCATCTGTAGTAACACCCCAAAAAATATTCTCATGGAAGCCCTAGAAAATGAATGTCAAATTTCACAAAATTGCTTCTTACACATGAAATTTTTAGATTTTTACCTGGCATAATCACAATTCTTGTGAAATTTGACATTTATTTTCTCGGACTCCCATTAGAAATTTTCTTTAGTGTTACTACAGATGATTTATTACACCTTTAGCCCTTGAAAAATGTAAAAGAGAATGTAATATTCTTTAAATTATTCGGGTACACGATTTTTGTCCACTGAAAATTAAAATTACTCAATTTCCTGGAGGATCCTTCTTCAAATAACTTACTCGCAATCATTAACTCATATGTTATGAGTCTAACTAATTTTGGTCTCAAGAAACTTGTTTCACAACACCCCATTGTTGACCCATTCTACAAAGTCTAGTTATCAAAGAGCACGGTAAAGTATTTCTACAGCTAAATTGCGCGCACTTGAAATCTATGATCAATAATTCTTCAGCTTTATGGGAAAAATGAAGAGTTGAATACCTAGAATCTTCATGTGAGCATCGCTAGAACGAGCCTACGTTTAACATTATGAATTATAATCAAAAGTATTTCATTTAAATGAAACAAGGCTAATTTCAAAGGTACCTCGCCGTTCTCGAGGATCACTCATCGGTCCATCTCCAGCTCTGGTAAAGGCTGCCACCCTGATTTCGTAAGGTGCTGGGTCGCTCTCAATCGTAATATTTACCTCAAGGGCATCTGGTGGGACAGTTTTCGTGTGAAATGCTCCTGTATCGCCAGCCCGATAAAATACTTTGTATCCACGGGGATTTCCATTCCACTTGTCATGAGGAATTGGCCTCCACGTAATATAGAAGAAAGTGGAATCGTCGAGGTAGGTATTTGTCCTTTCTATACTGGGACGTTCTGATGGAACTACAATGAACAAGACACTCTTGAAGTGTTTACTTGAGGTTGATTGGAGATTAAATAACAAATGAGGAGGAGATAAGTTCTCAAGGAGCCAGTGTGCAGGCAATACACAGTAACTACTGACTCCCTTATGGTACATAGAATAGTCAGGCTAAGCTTAAAATGGAAAAAGATTATAGTTCAATACGATTTTAGGCTGAAAATATTCTTGTATTATTCTTAAATACTAGCCTTCGACTTTTCCGTTTTAGAATGTATTGGGGTATAAATTGCAATTAACATGGCAATGGCACATTGTTTTCCGTTTCGGTGTCTAGTTTTGCCGCTAAGAGAAAGAAATCATTTCATGATTAAGTTACAAGATTTTTCAGCACAGAAAATTATATTCTTTTCGGCCTTGGGTTTATTCTTTTTTTTTCTTTTTTTCTTTTACTATTTCGCACACACAAACAATTACAATACATTACATTTACAATTTATTACAGGTAACTGTTATCGTTTACAAAAAAGAAAGAAAAAGAAAAAGAAAGACAAAGTCCACAAAAATACTATAGTTTATATATTAACAATTAAGAGAAGGCTGCCTGCCTTATGGTCCTCCATCACCCATCTGCCCGTTTGTCACTTGCACTTTGGGGCATTGTTTGAAAGTAGCCCATTTCTTCCTTAAAGAGGCTAAGTTATTATTATCAAACGCAATACTGTTTCTCAATTTCTAGGAGCGTATGACCAACTGACTGTACACTGGTACCATAGGAATAGTATTTCGTAGTTTGCAACTATATATATATATATATATATATATATATATATGTAATGTCTAGCAATGAGGAGGTATATAATGTCTAGCAATGAGGAGGAAGTGGTGTAGGAGAAGATTGAATATGTTGTCAATTAAGCCGAGGCAAAGAGCTGGCGAAAAGGGGGTAATGTTCAAGTTGGTCAAGTCAAGCTCTTCGGAGGTCCACTGCGAAACATTATTACAAAAAGTCTGAGTTGATCTACAGTGCCAAAAAAGGTGCGTAAGTGTCTCTGGGGAACCAGCGCAAAAAGAACAGGAGTCTGTTTCCTTTTAGCCTATCTTAAGAAGGAAGTCGTTTGTAGCTACTCTTCTATGCAGAAATTTGAATTGAAATACCCTTATTCTTATCATATTCTTAAGATATTACAAATTTAAGCCTTGATGTAAAAATATATTCTTTAGGCTCGGCAACTGAAGTGTTTATGTAGAGAAACCGAAAATTTGCCACGACTAAGAGGGTGACCTTACCAATGCAAGTACACTGTACGCTAAGAATTAAGATCGTTTTACCTCCTTCGTCAGTCTCCAAGTCTTCGCTCTGACTTTTTTTTAAAGTGATCTCCTCGGTTTGATTGTTATAAATCAAGGCTACAATTTCCACGGAATAATTAGTTCCAGGTCTCAGACGATGTGCTTCCGTTCTGTTTATATTCCCACGAACAGTTGTGAGGGTTGGACCTAGCTTTCCATCGGTAGGTGTACAAACCACTGCATATGCAAATAATTCGAGTGGAGACGTCACTGGTGGATGATGATGCCACTCAACTACTATTTTGTCAAGATCTATTTTCGTGATGTTGAATACGCTCCAGTTTGGCACAAGGGTAGCTAAAAATATATATAAAAATAACCATTAACTATGCAGATCGTGCGATTATATCGTTTCTGATTATTTGTGTTACTAAAAAAAGCAAAGCATTCTTCATCTAATGATAAATGTTCCTTTGCATGGGGTATTTCATGGAATACCAGTACGAAATCGTTATGACGATTTGGTAGAGAATTTCCTCGGCCATGAGTATTCTTATATAAACGTCAATTTTCTTGAATGTATTCTGGGCACAAAGGACATTTCGAATTAGATTCTTTTTCAGTCTCCTGTTCGTTGCATGTTCTTTTCATCGTTTGAAAGTCATGTGATTAACTTTTAGATATTGGACAGGTATAGAAAACTAGAAAATAATACTAAAAGGATTTTGAAGGGAAGACAACTTTCATTTTGTAAGCGATAACCTGTCTTCCCGTCCTTTAATTCCGCCATACACGTTTCAATTTTCATGGAGTTTCATCCAAAGATATCTAGTAAATAAAGGTTGCGCACATACCTTCCCATGTAGATTCATTCAAGACTATATAAACCAATTCAAATCCTTTTCTCTGATCGCTCATATGATTGTGACTCTCATAGAGTAAAGGCACCCTGTGCGCCTGCATGAGGACAGGTTTATGTTCAAAGGTAACGCCGCACCATCTTTTCGGTTCAACTCCACTATAATCTCCAACAGCCACAAAATGGCGCCTGTAGATTAAAAACAAAGACTCGTGTTTTTTAGCCTGCGAAAGTACTGAGTCGCTCCTTTCTCCTCGCGAAACTTCTCCATCGGCGAGAAGCGAGGAGGAGCGGCTGCTTTTGCCGGATACGTTGAATTACATTTTGTGATTTATTCCTTTAAACACTGAAGCCAGTGACACCATAATTGGTAATCCCAGACACATGCATGTAATGTGACCTAGCAGTATTTATATCGGTTGTAATCCTATTTACATCCTGGAAGACTGCAAAGTACCCATTCGATTAATTCGAGTACCGTGTCATTAAAAATTGCGTCGGATAAATTATGACAAATTATTTAATACCTGAATCGACTCCATAACGACCATCCTACGAGCAAAGCCTCCTTATGTCTTCCTGTCTTCTTGAAGGAGGAGAAAAGGCAGCTCTTCTTGAATCATGTCAAGCCTTTGAGGTCGCCGAGGCCCAAACTTCTAGACTAATCAATCTCGTTTTCTTTCCTTCTTTCTTTTTTCATCTATTTTATTTTATTTTCTTCCAAGCACCCTACTATTAATAACTACCTATGGTCATAACCGAGCCCACTGTAGCAAGCACACGGCTATTAGACCTGGATTCGAAACTATATCATAGCAACGTGCTGCGCATGCTCAACAAAGATCTTACTCGCTCATGGACGCCAAAATTTAGCAAGCCAAAGAAAGGCTCTGTTGGCAGGGTGGATAACGACATGCATAAAACGACGACATCGGAAACCACTTAAATGAATAAAATGTAAATCGGTGTAATTAATCTGAACCTCACACATTTGTCTTAATTATTAAGACAGAATCCACCAGGACATTGAGTAATTTTGATTTTCAGTGGACAAAAATCTTATACCAGAATAATTTTAAGCATATTGCATTCTTTGTTACATTTTTTAAGGGCTAAAGATGTAATAAATCATCTGTAGTAACACCCAAAAAAATATTGTTATGGAAGCCCTAGAAAATGAATGTCAAATTTCACAAAATTGCTTATTACACATGAAATTTTTAGATTTTTACCTGGCATAATCACAATTCTTGTGAAATTTGACATTTATTTTCTCGGGCTTCCATTAGAAATTTTCTTTGGTGTTACTACAGATGATTTATTACATCTTTAGCCCTTGAAAAATGTAAAAGAGAATGTAATATTCTTTAAATTATTCGGGTACACGATTTTTGTCCACTGAAAATTAAAATTACTCAATTTCCTGGTGGATTTCGTCTTAAAATAACTTACTCGCAATCGTGCTCAATATCAGCATGAACAAACCACAACAGGACACTTTTGTTTCTCGACTGGATGTACCAGACGCACTCAGAATAGGTCATTTCGTTAGGATACCCGGGACTTCGAATGAAATCGGTAGTGCTATTCAGCCACCAACCGCATTCTAAGATGAAAAGTAAAGAAACCATCAAAATGGTCTACTAACTAGTTCTGTAATATAACAAAAGGTATCAAGAGCGAATATAATATTTTCTACAAACATTTTTGTTTTGTTTTTTTAAAACAGTGTCAAACAAGAATCAACATATAATATTTACAGCGAAAAGTAAAAATTGCCTACCAGGCTTGAAAAAATCTAAAATTTTGCGCTTCGTGGGAGCTCAAATTTGTAACCATGATAAAACACTGCGGCTCCCGTTTTGACCATTACAAAAAGCAAATTGAGAATGAGTGTATTTTTTGTTTCTGTTTGCTTGTTGTTGTTGTTGTTGTTGTTTTTCAGGAGTTTATCAGGTGGGTGAACAAATTTCAAAGGGACTAATAAATTCTGAAGTTTTCCCCCATGACCTTTGCATATCAACAACCATAAATAAATCCATTTACCTGGTAAATTTAGTGACCAATCAGTCTTTTGGAGCAACATACAAAATGATGTCCATATCAAAGTAGTTAATTATAAATCACTTTTGTGCTTTTCGTAATATATTATCCAAATTATAAGCAACATTTGAGGTTCCCACTGTAAAAAATGATATTACAAAAAGTGTTTTTACAGCGTTGTATGCCCAAGAGTGCAGCGCGCTGGAACCATAAATCGCCAGGAACAACCAGTATCGCTATCGAGGACAATGTAAAAAAATAACCTGACAAAATATTTTAGAGTTCTTTACCAATTTGATTTGTTTTTATTTTTGAAGCATTCAAGTCGAAAATAATGACTTACTTGTTCTCATCCATTCTTTGTTCTGCTGGATTCCTTCTCCAGCTGCTGTGTAGGCTGTAACCCACACCTGGAACTCAGTCCACTGTGGGAGTCCTGTTATGTTATACTCAAACTCATCAGGGCCCACAGTCACAACTTTGAAAAACAAATTTATGGGTCGATAATCGCCATGGTAGTTTTCTTCCACGTGGACTCGATATCCTAAAAGAGTTCCTCCTCTTGCACTTTCCTCCAACTTTTCCCACCTGATCCAAAGAGTGCTGAAGTCGGTGGCTTTACGCTCGTAAATACGAGGGTTCCTAGATGGAACTGGCAACAAGAAGATAAATCATACTTTAAATATTCCAAAATCAAAGGCTCCCCGAAAACAGTGGGGTCAAGTTTGACAATGCAAGTCATAAACGGAGACCTCATATATAGGTAATCACCATATTGAAACAAATCAAAGGAACGTAATAGATAACAAGCTACGCCCATACCAAAGTGACCTGGGATAAAAGAGCTTTTAATGTTTTTTCTTCAAACTGCATTCCATCGTTCTTAAATACCCATCACTTAGATGTACCAATAGTCAAATGCGAGCATTTTACTCTTTTATAACGAAGTAGTGTATGCTGAGCCTTCTTAATTCTTGAAGTAAAATTTCAACCTAAGCAGGACTGAAAAAAGATATTATTTCACCTCAATTCTTTAACACATGTTTACGTTTCACTCTATTATGACAAAGTATATATAGTTGAGCCTTAAAGTTCTCACGTAGCATGTACAGGACTAAGTAACGATGGTTTTTCACTTCATCACTTCTTAAACAGCTGTTTAGGTTTTGCTCTTGACTGTTTAGCCTCTCAATAATGTCCATTGGTTAAGAATCACCGAAGTGAATTGAATTGCATGAAATTTAATAAACTCTTAATGTAAAATTAACCACTCACTTCCTTCTTTAGTTTGAAAACTTTTCCAGTCTGTGCTGCCACGCGTTCCATTACTTAGAATGACCACGATTTTACCAGTATAGTTCGTTCGCGCAAGCAGGTTTTCAACGAGGTGAGCACTTTGAGATGCCGATAACCAAGTTGGATGGTATATTTCCCTTGAAGCTTGATCGCCAATTAGAAGGTACCCCTCAACAGTGGCTCCACCCGCAAAGCTACTCGGGGGCGGGGGCCACGACACGAGTGCTGACGAATTGGTAATATTTGTTATTGTTACTTCCCAGTCTCCTAACACTGACCCTGATGGGAAGAGGAGAATAGATTAATCGAGTTGTTGAATTCATTTAGCACGCGTTTCATATTGTTGGTTTTCACATGATGTCACTAAAATTCAAACTGCAAAACTATCGATCCTACTGAGATTTTACTTTCATCATGTATTAGAGCAGCTGAAAACTATCGTTCATACAAATTTTTGCTTCAAAAGCGTTCTTGGTTTTGTGTTAGAGTACGCATAAATTTCTTAGCTTTTGCGTGACGCGGCTTTTACATGACGGCCGAGAGCGCCGTAATGTAGGTTTAAAAAAGTGACTTACTTTGGGGAATTTTTTTATTTAAACGGCTAATGTATTAGAACCAGTATTACTTTGATGTTTATGAGTTCCTCGAGGGATAAATTCTCGTTTTTGTAGCAAAACTCGGTAACAGATGTTTCTGTTGGTTTCCGTCCGCCATGTTGGTGTCCATCCAGGTGGGCACCAGCATGGCGTCTCCTTACAAATTCCTTTAAATTTGAGTAAAACATTTCTTCGGATATCTCTATAAGAAATATTCCTCTGACCCGAATCTTGGCGAGGCTCTTTGTATATTTACCTCCTTTGATTTCCCAGATTCTGGCATTAAACTATTGAACGGTTTTGATTTTGATTTCAATCGATTTTGAATGGCGTGACACTGAAAACCAGCAATAAGACCGGTCTCTCTACGTCATTGTGGCGTCATGTTGTTAAATTTATTCGCAGAAGCCAAATTTCATCTCTTTTTCCTGAAAAGTAGCCATAAAGCGAAGGACACCTTAATGGTAATGTGTCTGATAAAACCATATAGTTCCGCTTACACATTATTGATATTTACGATATTTAAAATTACTGAAATTTGAGCCAAACGCCATCTCTTCAGTTTGAATTTGTTCCTTTTCAGCTACAAAACCCGTTATTTAAAGATCCACGTTTTTTTGGTCACTGAAAAACCTGGACACATTTAACAATTATCCTTTGAAATCGAGATAAATATTCCTAAGGCCACTATTTGCCGAGATTGAAAAAAAAAAAGTTTTTAAAATTACTATATACACAGGAAGTGATCCCGACAGAATTAGAAAGGAAACCTGAAAAAGCGATTTAAGTTGAAATACCGAGTTAATTCATGCGTTAACTTAGCCGTAAACAGTACATGAGCAAACGTTAGAACTTTACATTATCTTCAAACACGGCAAATCATAGTCTTAATCTTTTTGTAAGCTTTTGCATCAGTGGTTTAAAAGAAAATATCCAAAGTTTGAATAACTACTTAGAAGAGACGCGGAGCTTTATGCTTCTTTCAACTCACCGTGAGTAAGTTTTTTTCTTTTTGGTCGCTTCTTGCAAATGCTGTCAACAGCGGCTACGATCGAGGTGAGCGTTGTTTATCTGTGGTGTTCATTGCCTTGTTAACTTGCTGGCAATAAAATTTGCGAAAATTTTGCTTTCCTTTTTTTCCCCATAAATTGATTTCTATTTCAATTCGTTTTTCCAGGAAATCCCGAGTTCACAAAACAGTGAAAAAAACACCATAAAGTCTTTTCCTACCTTCAAACACAACGACACTCGGCATTTTCTTATATGTTCAACAAGTTCTTACTCTGAAACTTTGGCAAAACACCTCGTCTAGCGAGGTAAATGTTACGTCATAGTCCGAAAAAACGAACCAATCGGATTGCTTGGATCACCAAGATCACTGAGTGTGTATCTACTAATAACAGTTATAATAAACTTGATAAAATATGCTAAATTTAGTATAATTGATACAAGAACTCAATTATTAAGAATAAAAATAAAACATTTTTATAGAATGAACGCAAATTTTGACAAACAGCTGTCAAAAATTGGACTGACAGTTAAAGGAAAAGGCATTTAATGTATATTAAACGTTACCTGTCAAGTCTTCTTCAGAGAAAGCCTTGAATTCGACTAGAAACTTGGTACCATTATTTTTTCTAAACTCGTCGTCATATCGATGGTAATGGAATCCCCAGGCTTGTATATCAACATCCCTGTTCTTTATAAGAATGGAGTAATTCGTTTCTTTTCCACAAAAGTCCATACTCTTACTTTCGTCCCAGTCGCGATCAGGAAAGTGTACTCTAAGTTGCCCACTGAAAAATAGGGCGGTAAAATTATTTGTTTATTCATACATTAAGCCATCGGTTAAAAAATAAATAAATAGAACAAAGGTTCAACAAAGTAATAAGGTCTGAAGGGTTGCCGTATGAAAGTTATTCTTAATAACTTGCTTAATAGGCTGACCATGTATTATACTCCGGTACATTCTCTTCAAGGGACATTGAAGAAGGCTTTACATGAACATAAACACTGACCTGCAATAATTCCATTCTCTGCGGCCAAGAAAGAAGTTCTTTAATGTCACCATCATATACGACCCGGTCGGAGGTCGAAGTCTCCAGTGACAGCGGATATTGTCGTCATGTTGGTCTTCAGGCCTGTATGGAGTATTAGGATAGCCAGGACTTGAAATATTTCCCATCTGTGCATTTATTACACCACCACATACTAAAAAACAAGTAGAAAAACTAATTATTTTTTGGTGCGTGACAGATTATGTGTAAACTTTAAAAGCCAAATCTGATTCCAGGTTAATTTCGATTTAATCTAGGTTGATCCTCAATCTCTCTTGTCTCTTTTGGTGAAGAGACAAAACAAATTGAGGAAAAAAAGGTAGTAAATAAACTTATAAAACATAAGGGGAGCGTAGCTATGAGCGTAGGTCGTGAACGCGTAACATTGGTGCCATTTGTTTAGCTGTTGCCTAATCCCCTTGGGGTCTATAGTCTGGGAACGAATCTAAATATATCTTACCTGTGGAAAATGGAGTGTAAGTGGGTACTATCTCTTCCCCTTTTATACTATTAACTAGGGGTAATCATAGATTAAAGGGTGTGTTCGATATGCGAAGTGAGTTATTTCCGGCTCAGGCATGTTAAGGCATGGGTCACCTCATAATTTGCATAATTTGGCAAAGTGGCATTTGAAACGGATTGTTTTGATCAGTCGTCATGAAACTTGGCAAATAGTTTTAGCTCGGTGGCCTTAACAATGTGTGACATATTCATTGTTGAAATATTAGTCACGTGACCTGGAAATGAACGTTAACGTTCAAAGTGTTCAAATTAAAACGGTGGAAAGGAAATGAAAGAGCGGCAAATATTTTTAGGCACCAGTGTTTTTCCCATAGCCTAGATAGCCCTGCGTGTATGCATAGGTGGAGCAAGGATTACAAGATAATGAAAAACATGTCACGTGACTTATAAAAGACTTAAATAACTCAATCCATCTTGCAGGGCTAATTGACAATCTAGACAGTTTCGCTGACAATTTGATGACAAGTATTTTTGTAACAACTTACCCCGTTTGAAAAAACAGGTTTTTTGACGTCATGGTCCAAGGAATGTCACGTGATGCTTGGGATGAATTTTCCAAAACTATTTTAGTAAGATATGTCTTATCATATCTTTGTGGAACCCTTTACTTAGATCCTTCTACGTCATTAAAAATGATCCTTGCAGTCGCCGAGGGGGTCTTTTTAGCCTTTCAACCGATGCCTTAACTTGCCTGAGGGGCAGACCATAGATTTTTACAGGCTTCTATTGTAGAGTTCTTTTAATAAATTTCTAAATCATTACTTAAGTAAATAAAGTGCGGTGTTATCGGGAAAGGCTCGAGCAATAGTTATTTAACTTGAACGCTGCATGCGTTTTTTATTATCTACTCAAATCATCGAAAGGGCTTAAAATGTGACTCAAGGTTGAAAGATCCACACTTCAATTCATGAACCTTAATTTATTAAAGTAACTAAACGATCTTCGAAAGTCGAAAGAACATTTTTTGTACGCCGTGTACACCAAAAATTTGCTCTCTTAACGCACTTTATCGCATATGCCTGAATTCGAACTATATCCAAGTAATCTAAGGCGCCATAAAATAAAAGCAACAATAATAATAATAGAGCAGAATTCACCTATGTTCTCGTTAAAACTTGATTTTCGCGACTTCGCTAGCATCAGGAAAACCTTGAATCGAGCATAAGAAGGAAAACAGATCGAGAAACACTTTGAAAGTTTCCTGTATGTGTTATACCGATCCAGTCAAGTTGATCAACAGTCATCCAGTAGTAGTCGAAAGAAGTCATGTGTATTGTATCGTATCGTTCGTACCCAGGGCGGCGCTACGTTCTTTCAAGAGGCGAAGTTATTTGGAAGTCCGTCGCCAAAACTCTCAATTTTTTCTGGCTAACAAATTTATGATGGTGTTCTACGAACGCAACTATTATTATTGTTGTTATTATTATTATTATTATTATTATTATTATTAACTTGATATTAGTTTTGACCTAAACCGTAAAGAAAACACGCTACGGATGTTTTGGAAGCAGCGCTTACGTTGTGAACATAAATAATGCAATTTAGGTTATTTTTACATGGTGGATAATGGTGGCTATAGAAAATGTAAGGATTGGTTCAAGTTACTTTGCAAGGATATGCATAAGAAGAAGTAAGGCATATATGAAAGAAGCACATGAGCACAAGCAGTAACATAAGGAACCTACGTATATATAGCATTAATAACGCAAGTAAAACCTTAGGCTCGGTTTCTGCCGTTCTCCCGAGCCGGGTCTTTGATACTAGTGCGGGCTCTTTTTCCCGAACAGTGGCTGTCAATTGAGCCAAGCAAAACCCTCTTGTGTTTCATCTTTCTCAGGGCTTTAATTTTTTTTGTTTCTCCTCCTTTCTCTTGTCTACTCTACGAAGTACACATGGAAAACGAGAGACGACCCTCTCTTCTCGTCTCAGCAGCTGCCTACGTAGTTATTTATAAGACTACAAAGTTGCACAACTTCGATTCCAGCGTCCTTTCCTACTCGACCTCCCTACACCGAGAGAGAAAGGACCTTGCGAAGGAGGTTACAAACTTACACGCAGCGGAGACTGTTCTGGTTTTTCCCTCTCCTGCGCTTGTGTATCCTGAAATGGAAATAACGTAAACCTTCCCGGGAATTAAATTATTCAAAGTAACTTGCTCAGTGTTCACGTCCAAGTCCTGGTATACTATCTCGCCTGATCTCCCAAATCGATGATATCTCAGCTTATATCCCAGTATTTTTCCTCCACGATTGCTCTCTTCAATGGATTCTAATCGGAATGAAATGCTGCGTGCATCAAAGTCTTGTCTCCAGTCGTGGATATAAGGTGCTTCACTGGGTACTTGATAAGAAAATAAACAAATAAGGAGGAGTTACAAGTAATGAAACAGCTAGATACTATAACAAGAAACCCCTGAAGTAAAGGGAAGCTGTGAGCTGCGTAGCTGTTACATTTCCTTGTCGTTTCGCCATCACAAGGTGCTCTTCAATTCTTGTTTATGCCAAACCATGCACAGCTGGTCAGAGCAATTACGGATCGAGAACACGATCCTGGTAATAGAGTGGCAAGACTCATCCAAGTAGTTTTGTTGTAACTTTAAGAGTGTGCGAAAACTCTTTCTAATATCTATCAATCTATCAGTTAAGTAGTCTTACGACAGTTAGCAAGATCAAAAATAAACTAAGACTGTAAGAAATATCTTAAGGCAGTCTGCAAACATACTTTCTCAGATATACGTACTTATGATAAGCTGAACTTTGCGTTTAGTTCATTAGCTTTGCAGCCCTTTAGAACCTACTACAATTGTCGCCCGTTTAGTTCTTTCTTTTTTGACATCTTGCATTTACTCTGGGTTGTACTCCTAACTCCTATGTCCTGTCAGAAACGTTGCTCACACTGTCTGTAGGTGGCTCCTCCTCCTTCTTCTCCCTATGTTCTACAGTTGGTCTTAGATCTCATGGAAACAACACTATTTTGGAATTGCATTTAATCATAGATATTTCCTGCAAAAACAATTACCCGTCTGTCCTCTTCGTTCGAAATTAATACGTCCTGTCACTGATTGCATGCACTCAAATTGTGGGTTGCTTATGCTAAAATATTCTACAATCTATTGCAGTGTTAAATTGAGCGAAACCAATAATGGCATTGCACAACTAGTTGCTGACTCAGTGCGCAATTGGAATGTCTTACGATGGCCCAAATATGAATAGTAATTAACACCCTAAGCGTTTAATTTGTTATTTGGTGTATTGCATTTACTTTTCTCTGTTTTCCATCCCTTTGTTTTCCTATCCCTTGTTAGTAACTGTGCTCACATAGTAAGTAGCTCCTCCTAAAATATTCCACAACTCAGTAGTATCGGGTATAATGGCACCCAAACGAATTGTGAAATTGCCTAATTGATGAATCGAACGGGTACGACATTTTGATATTTCCATCGATTTCCAGCAACCACAACTATTTGCAGACAACCGCTTGGCTTCGAATAATGTATAAAAAACTTTAATTTCTTACCACCCTCAGCAGATTTAATGGTGAGTCTTTCACTTTTGTAGATATCATTATTTAAGGCCAGGAGATAGACGACAGCTTGGAACTCTGTGTCTGCAGGAATGTCTGATACGTTGACCTCCGTCTCCGAAACGTTAAAAAACCTGAGCATGCGTATAGGATTGTAGTTTTCATGGTCATAATGATGATCATTATTTTCATGAATTTCTGTTTGATTCAGAGAAACTATGAAGTACACGGCGTTTAAATCATTTGGGAAGGAGCTCCAGTTTACGAGGAGACTTTTACCACTCGCTTCAGCTGTTAAACCCCAAGACTCCGTGGGAGGATCAATAGCTACAAAGAAAGAGGAACAACACAGTTAAACATGCGAGCGGAGCATGTGAAAAATGTCGTTATCTTATAACGACGACGTATTACTAATTGCAAACTCCTGTGTTTTGGAAATATAGGAAATTCAAATTCAGAAACAAAGCCACGACTCTTAAACTCCGCCATGAAATAAGCGTATTTTAAAGCTCAATTACTTAAGGGTAAGTATTAAGAGTATACTTTTTTTTTTTTTTTGTGTGTGTGTGTTTTGTTTTTCAGGGATACCCAAACATTACCAGATTTGTGGGAAAGAACAGAAATGTATCCAAAACACTAATATAGTCACCTGATTCAAGGCCTCCTTTGACAATTACGAAAGAAGTCCACACTCGACTTTGCGGATTCTGTATTCGAACTTCTGCTTTAAGGAAGTTTGAATCTCCGAACGGTACTGTTGTCATATCCAGGCGTAGAGGATCGCATCCCCGGTGAGTTTTAGCCTCCTGGTCACCCTTGAGTATCGTAGCATATTCGTCGCTATAAATGAACGGCGTATCTTTAGATTATTATTACGGAGTTCAAGCAGCAATGACGGCGACGGCGACGGCTATGAAAACATCACTTAAAAAGTAAATTCGAGCTACTTCAAACATTATCGCGCTTATTCCAACTCGTTCAATTCGTCAAATGTTGTCAAATTATCTGCAGTTAAATTCTAAAAGACTGCCGTTGAAGTTCAGGAAAAGAAAAATAAAAGCGTTGTCACATGTAGTTCACGTCCTCGACAAAACGTGAAATTAGGCACTTTCACGTTGTAGTCGTGCAGCAACGGCAAAGAAATGCACAAAAAGCGTGATGCACGTGCAAATTTGTTGTTTTGCTAATATTAACAATTGTTTCTTATTTACCTTAATTTTATTGTAACTATTTTTTGCCAGCTTATCATTAACTCCTGATAGATCGACAGCAGCAAGACAAAACAACAACAAAAATAAGTATACGGTATAAATATTCGGTAAAAGTTTTTTTTGTATATGTTGAAAAAAAAAGTATACTAAATATATAAAGCTGAGTCAAAAACATCTTGAGTTAATCGTCTTAGTTTGTAATTATTATTATTATTATTATCATTATTATTATTATTATTATTATTTACTTGTATTGTATTTTTCTCTGATTTAAAGCGAAGTTAAACTTGGCAAACTGACAAAGAACTGACACAAAAGGAATGATGATGATGATGATGATGATGATGATGATGATGATGATGATGATGATGATCATAAATAACGGCATAAAAATAAAACTTGAAAGAAATTTGTCTTACTTGTATCCGCAGTTGTGGAACTTTATTTTCCATATGGACATTAGAAGGACTGCATTTTCTATTCCAGGATTGTAAATTGTCCAAGAGCATTCGCGAGTGTCCCAGTCCCAGTCCGATCTACTTAGGTTCATCATTCCGTATGACTGATTAAATGTCCCTCCACAACCTAACAGTAGCAAAATACAATATTAAACCGTTAATAATTATATAGATTTAGCGAAGGCTAAAAGCGAAGCGTCTATGTATATACTTTTCAGTACTTATAACCAAAAAAAAAAAAAAGGAATACGCTTCAACCTATAAAAATCCAAAAATTTATACTCAACTGATTTTAAAGCAAATAGAAAAAATTATAATTCAATTGATTCGATCAGTCCGATCGCAACCACCGCCACCACACTCCTTTGAGAAGCCAATAGCCTATGAAATTTAATGTTTTATAAAAGCTGGATGTCATTGTCATTCACGAAACTCTTTGCCTGGGTGCATTTCACAGTTTATGTTTGTAGGCCACTTCGGGGTGATATTTTGCATTTCAAACAGCTCTCGCGTCTTGCCGGTAAATGGCATGGCCACCCGGACTTTTAGAGAGAAAAAAGAACGTGCCCGCGCTAACTTTGGCCACCATTCACCCATGGGCAAATAGTAAATGGGAAATTGGCCAATCAGAATGCGCCGTGCTTTATTCTTGTTCTGTTATAAAATAATATATATTTTTATTATTTTAGATTTCTTCATGCTTGTATGGGAATGTTTGACAGACAGTACTGCCACTTACCAACTACGATGGTCTGCCATTCCGAACGGGGTCCTGCTATGGATGTAAAGGCCTCAATTGCAATCTCGTACTCCTTCACTGGTTGCAAATCGAAGAGAGTCACTCGTTTTTCAGACGAGCTGATGTTCATTTTTCTCTCTTCGTGATGATGTCGTTCTCTATAGTACAAGTTATACCCATTAATCACACCATGTTGACGTTCTGGCGGAATCGGTCTCCATACAACAACGATAGCATTGCCGGATTGCAGATTGTGCAGATGGAAAACGGGAGACACACTAGGCGCTAAAGGAGACACAATAATAAGACATGAACCAAAAATGCTGGTCCTATGGTATTATTAGTAAAGACAACAACATCTGATTAGTATTTTGTATTTTTAATTGAATTGGAAGAGGAATGTAATCATTTCAATAAAGCGTCGGTATTATTACGAGGAAGTATTAGCACGAGGAATTTAATTTTGAATATCCCAAACCTATACGAAAGAGCCGAATAATACCCAGTACAAAAGGGTACATTACCAAAGGAGAAGAAATGTTATTTTTTAACGAGCTGAAAGCCCGAAAATAGAAGCATATTGAGACAACTAAGAACAGATAATACTCAAGGCGAGATTGTTGTAGTTCGTAAGAGGAGCGTAAATTGTTCTTCTTCGACGTGACGAGGAAAGTGTGTAAAACAAAGAAAGAAATCGTTGCGTTATTTACTGCATTCACCACTTTCTTGTAACTTACCGCCTGGCGGCGTTGTAATAATGATCGTTTTACTTGAGTAGGACGGACCATCAGTGAGTGAGCCATTGAAAGCTAAAATTTGAACCACGTACACACGGTTTGGTATCAACTCTTGGATGTGTCTATTCCTGTCGTGCTGATAGACTAGATAAAGCCTGGATATATCTTTATTAAGCTCTTTTACCATTAGAGCAAATTGAGCAATATACTCTCCATGTCCAGGAAATTCTGTCCATTCTACTTCAGCTTCGTGTTCTTTTACCCATCTTTCAGAGACATTCCATGAAGAGAGCGCAGTTTCAGCTAATGTTTATAAGAAACGAAAAGAAACGTAATTAAACACGCCCATGCCAGTCCTACTAAAGGAACGCCGCTACCAGAATTTGGCAATTGTCCCTACCGGACTCTCATCAATTTCAGGGCTGTTAAACGGCAACATGGTCGACTCATCATCGCATCGTAGTCATAATTCCCCCCCTGGTGCAATGATTATAAGAATCGGAGAAATTTTTTCTTGTGAAATCTGGGTTCCTAAAAATGTTTTTGACTCCGAGCAGTCCCTTTTCAGTCAGTCGAGTCAAGGCTCGGCAGGACTGGAGAAAGGCAAAACCCGGTTTTCCCGTGGCTGGCCACGGCTGGCTTCGGAATCCTGGGCTTTGGAATAAAAGAGTCCGAAATCCCAGTAGCGATTTAAATTCGGAATCCAGGACCCACTGACAAAAAGTCCGAAATCCAGTACCTGGAATCCGGAATCCATGGCGTGGAATCCAGAATCCAAGACTGTATTAATTTCCCTTACGTGGAACAAAAAGTTTTACTCAAATCTGACTACCTGTTCATTCTCAACAGATAAATTTGCAACAATTACGTCTAGTCCTTTTCCGCTAGCCTAAGGTTTTTTTTCTTTTCCGGGATTCGAATTCCTCAGTAATGTTTACATTGCCCCCAACGAAATATTCATTGAGTCGTATCACCGATCCTAAAATGTTCAGAACAATCGTCCAAAAATCTGTCGGAACCATTGCTTTACGAATAGCCTGCATTGCTCCTCCCGCTTCGCGATTCGTGCTCGTCTCGCGATTCGGCCTCGAAATTCCATGTAAGCCTCGCTTGGCTCATAAAGCGCCAGTTATGCAGGCTACTTAACGAAAGGCTGTTGTAATTATTACCTGTAAAATTACTCTGCAGGATTTCATACGTGGCTTTAAAACCAGAGGAGCGTTTGTCGTGAAGCGCCGAAAAAGTAAGATCAGCCTGACTACTTGATACAAGAACGTAATTAACATCTCCATCACACAAAAAACTGGCATTCTTGTTCACTGCAGATGAGAATGCAAGATAGTCTTGCAACCTAAATCAGACAAGAGAAATGGAGCTTAAATTAGTACGTTGAGAAACAATACAGGGTTCAGTCTAATAAAACTACAAGAAGTGTACTTGACAAGTGTAACTATTGTTTTTAGATACTAAAACAATGGGCATAATATAACAAATGAAACCGTTTTAAGAAATTGGCCCAGGAGTTTTGCCAATTGACCAGGGTTAACAATCATTGAGCTCGAGTTCCATGTGCGTCCATGGTCACCTCTCGTTACTGGTCGCCTCAACTGATTTTTTTTTCCAAATTTGGAACCTCCTTCTAAAAGCCCCACTTCTCATATCATTTAGTGACTTTTTGTGGTAAAGGTTCAAGGGTGGATTTAGCGGTGGGCTGAGGGGGCTGCAGCCACCCCTTTTTCTTTGAAGAGAAGGTATTATTTTTTATAGAACTCTCAGAAAAATAAAAAGTATCTATATAGCTAACAAGTGGAAAAGTGTCCCGGCCACCCCTTTCTGAATTTCCTGGATCCGCCTCTGAGGTTTTATAATTCTCTGCAGCACTATTATGAGAAGAGAGCGCGTTTGAGACGAGATCTGCACTGTAAATGGCATTTTCTCTGCAATATGTTTTCTTTTAAAAGTCAGTCGCGAAAAACAAAACAAACAAACAAAGACGCTAAGACACTACATGCAATTGGCCTACCTGCAATAGAAGAACTGGTAATGATGGTAAACGGACAAACTCATTTGATGGAATTCAATTAAGATTGATGATGCAGGTCCACTTGGTCTGATTGCCCAGTTACAATATTGGAATCCACCATATTCACAAGGATAGCCTGGGCTTTGTATGGTGCCATTATTGTCAGTCAATGTTGTCTGTGCTTCACACGCTTTAAAGCAAAGTACATTTTGTGAGGTAATCATTCCTCTTGTCGAAGGACTATGATTTAATAGCAGCAGACATGGCTTACTGTAACGTCCACTAATAGCTGCTTTGAAAACTATTTTTTGCACAACACTTGTATTCATTCTATGGACTTGCACAGAAAGATTCGAAGTTATCGTGCCTTCTAATATCAAATAAAAGCTAATCTTAACAAAACGATCACAGTACAACTCCTTAACAAACATAGCGCGTCCGCACAGGTATGCAGTCACCGGATACCACCTCATGTAACGTTCATTTTTGGCTCTTACTCTTGCGTGTGAGGCGAAATCCGGGAAAACACTGCATTTTGATATAAAAAAAAATATCTGACAGAAATTAATGCGGAGGTGCATTTGCGATTATTCTTTCGATTCTCTATTTTCCGTCTGTCTCTTTCCCCTGCTTTGTTCTCCCTATTTATCTTTTTTTTAAATTAAATCTTTAATATACGTAAGGGCGCACAGGCGTGCTGGCGTACTGGCGCACTCGCAGCTAAGCCCCTGATTTATACATTGTTGCCCGTGTTTCCTTTTTATAATATACCTCTAGTTATAATTTGATATAGAAAGAAAATAGCCCAACAAGGAAATGAATTTTAAAAGACGAATAACAGTTAGAAGAATTTTCTAAACTTCAAAACTTTCACTTTATTTCAAAGAACTATTAATTTGAGAATCGATCGACGCATTAACGCCTTATTTGATCGGATATCCAGACATCTCGAAGACCGCGGTTTCAACTAATTTCCAGTCGTCTGAATACCCGGTATCCTATAATATTCGTTCCACTCAAACAATAATAAAATAAGTGTGGCATGTGTAAATTCGAGCTCCTTCGAAAGATTGCAAAAATATTTATGGTAACTTTTCAACGGTTATAATTGTGAGTTAACACAGAACGGACTTGACCAAAACAAAGTTTTGGTCAATTTCCTTTGACATGTTTTCGCCTCCGAATTTGTGTAAGGATTAATACTAAGCAGTAGTTCTCAAAATAAATGAAATAATTTCATCTCATCAGTATCAACAATGACTTAGAGACTGTTCATGTCTGGCGCCTGAGCACTAATGCCCTGGTACCGGCATATAATGGCCGGTGTTGTGTTCACCCCTTGAGTACCAGATATGTGACTATGTGTAGCATGTTTGTTCCACCTCACATTCAGTATCAAAAGCCATTTTAAAACGTGAGCGTGCTGGAAGTTTCTGGTATTTCCAAAGCAGTTGATTGCCTCAGACCTGAAAGAAAATGCGTACACAAAGGGTCCCTGCGCGCACTTAAGCGCCCGAGCACAAGGTCCCGACCTTGAACTCGGCCAAAAACACCTTTCACAAATTCTGGCTTAAATTGGCAGCCTGAAAAATGGATTTGTTCACATTAGTGCCAGTTGAATTTCGTACTCGGGCACCAAGTGTGAACGCTGCCTCAATCTCCACGGAATTTTCCGTAGAATCTCGGCTGTGCTGGAGCTCTTACATGTAAAAATATCCCTGTGGGATTCCTGTCCAATTCCTGCCAAAGTGTATCCAGCAATCCAAATATCATATCTGGCTCCCGTGCGAAGGCCTGAAAGAGTGTAGCTTGTCGTTGACGCACTGACGTTCTCCCGTCCTCCATTGTTATAACAAGAGGAATGATAGCGAATAGTATAACCAAGTAAATGACCGTTGTGCGCATGTTCTGATATTGGATGCCACTGGATGCGAACACTGTTTGTTGTAATAGAATCAATCCGGACATCTGATGGTGATTCAGAAGGAGCTGAAGGAAAAATACAAACGCTGACAATTTAAAGTACTTAAATCTAATTTCGCGAAATATTGTTGTCATATACAACCTTTCTTGGCAAGATTTAATACAGAAGTAAGGAGAACGTACATGTTTGCTCATCAACGTAGAAGATAGACCGTTTCCGGAATTGAAAGATCTTTAACTTTACCAACTCTCGAGGTAAAAAGTTTTTTCGAGAGAGGTTAACTAAAAAAGTGCCTAGGTTATCGGATTATTGTAAGTGAATGGAAACATTTCTTGTGTAAAGCATATTTATCTATCCATGGGTTCTTTTGCAGTTGTCTGACAAGTACATCGCGCAAGACTCTAACCAAACTAAAATCCAACAAAATATGCACTCACATCCTTCCAGTGTTTTAACATTTGTAGCGCTACTTTTATGTGGATTTCCTAAATCATCAACGGCGAAAACCATAACTGTATAATCAGAAAATCCATCTAGGCCATCAATGATCGCGGATGTGACATTTGAAGGCAGAATTTTTCCTGTGGTTTCATATCCCCCGTAGTGGTTCGACCAGCTCACATGAATGATGTACGCTTTCACCTGTTGGCTGATCTCGTTGGTTAGCCCTTGCCATTGGACGTAAAAGCTTTTTTCAGTCACATTGAGGATGTTGAAATTCCAGCCACTAATGCCTGGTGCTGCAATGAGGTTGGAATTATGGCTCAATAATTGACAAACCAACAAAGTAATCCCTTTAAACGGATCGTGAGATGTTACACTTACAGTCTTCTTCTTACGCAAAGCCCTAAGTAGTCGCACGGTTTTTGATTTTGTCACGACGTCTCGCGACTGTTTCTGACCCTTTTGGATCACTTTGTGGCTTGACACTACCTCTTTCAAAAGTTCCCTCGATTTTTATCGGGCATTAGGATTACTTTACCGTCTACTGGTAAAAAAAACGTATAATCAGGTATAAATTGGACGTAGCCTTTTCCAAGCTCCGAGATAGTCGCGTCCGCGAAATGGAGACAGCTCCCCGTTTCCCTGATCATGCGCTAACATTTTCGCCTGCCTTTTACTCACGCGCTACTCCTTCTATCTGAGAGCCTGGAACAGGCGATTTTGTACGCTGCCACGATTTTGTGTCGTTTAGGTTTACAAATTGTCGATAGGGAAATGAGCGCAATCACGAGTATGCATGTTTTTTTTTATTATCATTATTTATATATGTCATCAAATAATATTATTATTTATTTATATATATGATTATTCATTTATGGGCAAAATCTAATAGTCTACTACCGTAAAACCCAAACGTAACATTCAAACGCCGGATTTACTAAACCTTCAGCTTACCTGAGCTTAGGTCTCCTTTCATGAGAACATAGCTTGCAACAAAAGGCAGTGCGTAGTTATATTCGTCCCAAATTCTTACTACTACAGTGACATACGTTGCAGAAAAGAACCACAGGACAGGAGTCTTTAAGTGCTGACAGTTATGTCTGTTTTCTATCTCATTCCATTCGTTCCAGATTTTTACCTCAGGGGTTCTGCGAAAAGTAAAAAGTGTAATCATTTTGTAAGTAATATATACTTTATGCAAGGTCAGCTTTAATAAAGCCAAACTATTCTAAATAATAACTGTATAAGTACAGTAACACGAACAAACCAAGGACAGAAGGGGCACCAGAAAACTCACCCGCAATGTTCCCTGAAGCGCTGAAGATTTACAATGACTTGATATCCGTTAGGATTTTGTATTGTCCATTTGCACAAAGTCTCTTGAGGTTTCGGACCCCTCTTGAAAACCAGCTGTCCTGATATGTCTGTCAGGTTAGCATAGCATTCTAAGAAATTTTAATGAAGAAAATGGGGGTTAAATTGTGGTGGAAAGAAACGTACCATGCTGGTAAAAATTATTCATTTCCTTTAAAATTTGCAATACTGTAATAGTATCAATATAAGGTCACCTAAATTCGAGGACAATAGGTATTGTTTAGCATTGTTATCGTTGATTGTTTCATATGACGCCTTGTAAGGGTCTTGTAAGGACAAAATGATCAACGAGAAATAACAGTTCTACCGGGAAAAACATCTCTCAGATGAGGTTAAAATTCGCGGAACCACAGAAGCAATTTCATCCTAGGGAAAGGGTGAGAGCTNTATATATATGATTATTCATTTATGGGCAAAATCTAATAGTCTACTACCGTAAAACCCAAACGTAACATTCAAACGCCGGATTTACTAAACCTTCAGCTTACCTGAGCTTAGGTCTCCTTTCATGAGAACATAGCTTGCAACAAAAGGCAGTGCGTAGTTATATTCGTCCCAAATTCTTACTACTACAGTGACATACGTTGCAGAAAAGAACCACAGGACAGGAGTCTTTAAGTGCTGACAGTTATGTCTGTTTTCTATCTCATTCCATTCGTTCCAGATTTTTACCTCAGGGGTTCTGCGAAAAGTAAAAAGTGTAATCATTTTGTAAGTAATATATACTTTATGCAAGGTCAGCTTTAATAAAGCCAAACTATTCTAAATAATAACTGTATAAGTACAGTAACACGAACAAACCAAGGACAGAAGGGGCACCAGAAAACTCACCCGCAATGTTCCCTGAAGCGCTGAAGATTTACAATGACTTGATATCCGTTAGGATTTTGTATTGTCCATTTGCACAAAGTCTCTTGAGGTTTCGGACCCCTCTTGAAAACCAGCTGTCCTGATATGTCTGTCAGGTTAGCATAGCATTCTAAGAAATTTTAATGAAGAAAATGGGGGTTAAATTGTGGTGGAAAGAAACGTACCATGCTGGTAAAAATTATTCATTTCCTTTAAAATTTGCAATACTGTAATAGTATCAATATAAGGTCACCTAAATTCGAGGACAATAGGTATTGTTTAGCATTGTTATCGTTGATTGTTTCATATGACGCCTTGTAAGGGTCTTGTAAGGACAAAATGATCAACGAGAAATAACAGTTCTACCGGGAAAAACATCTCTCAGATGAGGTTAAAATTCGCGGAACCACAGAAGCAATTTCATCCTAGGGAAAGGGTGAGAGCTGCAGTTGGAGGAACGAAACGAACGACGCTGTAGTGGTACGTGAGGTGAATCAAGTGCTGATCAGAAAAGTTGCTGGATATATACTTGATGAAACAAACCTAAGCTGTACCAGTTTCGTCCTTGTGATTTAGTCACGCTTTTCCAGTGGCATCAAAATTTTACCCAAAACATGCTTTATTTAACTTGTTAGTATAAGATAGTAAGACACAGTTCTGAGAACTTAGAATCCAGGTGGTTTTAGCTGGTTTTGCAAGTGGGCGAATTAAAATTCGCCGTGGGTTCGCCCTGAAACGACCAACGATGTTCAAAAACCCCTCGTAGATAAAATAAGGAGATAAGGTAAGAAGTTTTGATGTATTTTAATTCTTTTTTTCATCCCCAACCATTTGACGACCCCTTACACTGTAGCTCGTTTTCGCTCCATGTAGAACGATGCATATTTTCCTTCCAAGCAGTTTAAGTTTTTCAGTTTGAGCTATTAAGTTGGCAAGCTGCAGCGACAGCAGTGATAGATCTTTCCACCGATACCTCGTATTAGAAATTCTGTTCAATCCTGACAGATTTATGTACAAACAGTAGCATTATGGGGAAATTCATTGTCAACTTCGCTTTTTAGCTCCTCTTCTTTGCATATTAAGCTTATTCTGTTTCAAAGAGAAAAAAAGCCAGACATCGAATTCCATGCGAGTGAAAGACGATTAAATGAACAACAAACCTGGAGTAGAAAAGAAAGGCAAAGGGGAAAAAGAGGGCGAGTAAGAAACATCGAGATAGATTTGCAAAATGGCCAAGTTTTGGCTTATGCAGTCTTATGCGCATGCGCGAAAAACAAAAACCTGCTTAGTTACATCCGATTAGTCACAAATTATGCTCTTAATCTTAAGGTATCTGCACCGGCAAAAATTGCCTCTTTTTGAAAAATAAAATAAAATATTCCCTCTGCGTGTGTGTTACTTTTAATTCTTTGCTTTGATAATTTATACTTCCAACCTCCCAAAAGTTCATTTTAGCCACTTCTGTGTTAATTCGCCCAAAACCTTCCAAAAAAGAGAAACTGATTAGAAATGCATTGTTTTCGCTACTCGCTGGCGGTCGCCGCCGATCGCTTTGAAATCTCCAAACCAACCCTTACAAACCCTAATATGTTTATCTTACGTAAAAGCAATTCTCACTCCTGTGAGCTTGGGATACCTGTGACTACACAAGGGTAGGTAGTGCATCGTTTACTTTAAAAACAGCTTTGAGACGTTCTAAGAAATATTTCGTAGTTAATTTACCTGCAAATACCATCTCATCACAAACAACTCCTACCACCCCACCGTGACACTCTTCGTACCATGGGCCTTGGGTGCAGTTGAGGAGGGAGGAAGCACCGTAGTCGCAGTAAAATGAAGTGTGTAGAATTGACACGTTACCAGCGCCAAATTCACTATCTCGATAGTGTTGTGTTGCCCAATTATAACCAAGCTTTCGACACACTGTATTGTGTACGTCACCATGGAAGTAATTGGAACAGAGCGTCCACCAAGTCTCATTGAAATAATATTCTATTCGTCCCTGATTTGGAGCACCCCCATCGGTAAGTCTCACATCACCTGTAAAGAAAATCAGAAAAACAATGAGATATTTCGTCAGTGACGATTACTTTCCTGCGCAGCTCGCAACAGAGGGAAGTGTGAAGTCATGTTAGAAATTGACAAACCAACAAAGTAATCCCTTTAAACGGATCGTGAGATGTTACACTTACAGTCTTCTTCTTACGCAAAGCCCTAAGTAGTCGCATGGTTTTTGATTTTGTCACGACGTCTCGCGACTGTTTCTGACCCTTTTGGATCACTTTGTGGCTTGACACCACCTCTTTCAAAAGTTCCCTCGATTTTTATCGGGCATTAGGATTACTTTACCGTCTACTGGTAAAAAAAACGTCGACCTGGTACAAGTCTATTTTACTATGTTCGCTATAATATACAGTGCATATAAACATTTAGTAATAATATACAGTGTATACACCTGATTGGAAAAACGTTGTCACTTGAAATGTATAAACCATGAAATATGGGACGTAATGAATTTATGGGTAGAACTTTATTAGCATTGCAAATTTGAAGTTTTTTCCAGAAACGTTTACATTATCGAAGCTTTTTGAGACGATGCATTTCAAAAAAAAGGTCTAACGGTTTCCATTTTTTATTGCCTGTAAGCTCACAAATTTCCCTTTGCATGGCACATCTGGGGATCTCTGGCTACAGTTAAAACAGCTAAGCCATGTTCCTAACACACACTTTCAAATCTTAAGGGATGACCTAAAAGCTTTCTTGGAAAACTTAAAAGACAACGGCATGACAAAGTACTCCAGGGGTCTGCATCCGCACGAGTAGCTCGTGATAATGTTAACTTTTGTTGAAAGAACTTTGAATTTGCTTTGCTAATGAGTGTATACCCATAAATCCTTGGAGCATCATAGTTCACGGTTTATTATTTTGAAGTAACGATGTTTTTCAGTCAGGTATAAATTGGACGTAGCCTTTTCCAAGCTCCGAGATAGTCGCGTCCGCGAAATGGAGACAGCTCCCCGTTTCCTTGATCATGCGCTAACATTTTCGCCTGCCTTTTACTCACGCGCTACTCCTTCTATCTGAGAGCCTGGAACAGGCGATTTTGTACGCTGCCATGATTTTGTGTCGTTCGGGTTTACAAATTGTCGATAGGGAAATGAGCGCAATCACGAGTATGCATGTTTTTTTTATTATCATTATTTATATATCTCATCAAATAATATTATTATTTATTTATATATATATATGATTATTCATTTATGGGCAAAATCTAATAGTCTACTACCGTAAAACCCAAACGTAACATTCAAACGCCGGATTTACTAAACCTTCAGCTTACCTGAGCTTAGGTCTCCTTTCATGAGAACATAGCTTGCAACAAAAGGCAGTGCGTAGTTATATTCGTCCCAAATTCTTACTACTACAGTGACATACGTTGCAGAAAAGAACCACAGGACAGGAGTCTTTAAGTGCTGACAGTTATGTCTGTTTTCTATCTCATTCCATTCGTTCCAGATTTTTACCTCAGGGGTTCTGCGAAAAGTAAAAAGTGTAATCATTTTGTAAGTAATATATACTTTATGCAAGGTCAGCTTTAATAAAGCCAAACTATTCTAAATAATAACTGTATAAGTACAGTAACACAAACAAACCAAGGACAGAAGGGGCACCAGAAAACTCACCCGCAATGTTCCCTGAAGCGCTGAAGATTTACAATGACTTGATATCCGTTAGGATTTTGTATTGTCCATTTGCACAAAGTCTCTTGAGGTTTCGGACCCCTCTTGAAAACCAACTGTCCTGATATGTCTGTCAGGTTAGCATAGCATTCTAAGAAATTTTAATGAAGAAAATGGGGGTTAAATTGTGGTGGAAAGAAACGTACCATGCTGGTAAAAATTATTCATTTCCTTTAAAATTTGCAATACTGTAATAGTATCAATATAAGGTCACCTAAATTCGAGGACAATAGGTATTGTTTAACATTGTTATCGTTGATTGTTTCATATGACGCCTTGTAAGGGTCTTGTAAGGACAAAATGATAAACGAGAAATAACAGTTCTACCGGGAAAAACATCTCTCAGATGAGGTTAAAATTCTCGGAACCACAGAAGCAATTTCATCCTAGGGAAAGGGTGAGAGCTGCAGTTGGAGGAACGAAACGAACGACGCTGTAGTGGTACGTGAGGTCAATCAAGTGCTGATCAGAAAAGTTGCTGGATATATACTTGATGAAACAAACCTAAGCTGTACCAGTTTCGTCCTTGTGATTTAGTCACGCTTTTCCAGTGGCATCAAAATTTTACCCAAAACATGCTTTATTTGACTTGTTAGTATAAGATAGTAAGACACAGTTCTGAGAACTTAGAATCCAGTTTGTTTTAGCTGGTTTTGCAAGTGGGCGAATTAAAATTCGCCGTGGGTTCGCCCTGAAACGACCAACGATGTTCAAAAACCCCTCGTAGATAAAATAAGGAGATAAGGTAAGAAGTTTTGATGTATTTTAATTCTTTTTTTCATCCCCAACCATTTGACGACCCCTTACACTGTAGCTCGTTTTCGCTCCATGTAGAACGATGCATATTTTCCTTCCAAGCAGTTTAAGTTTTTCAGTTTGAGCTATTAAGTTGGCAAGCTGCAGCGACAGCAGTGATAGATCTTTCCACCGATACCTCGTATTAGAAATTCTGTTCAATCCTGACAGATTTATGTACAAAAAGTAGCATTATGGGGAAATTCATTGTCAACTTCGCTTTTTAGCTCCTCTTCTTTGCATATTAAGCTTATTCTGTTTCAAAGAGAAAAAAAGCCAGACATCGAATTCCATGCGAGTGAAAGACGATTAAATGAACAACAAACCTGGAGTAGAAAAGAAAGGCAAAGGGGAAAAAGAGGGCGAGTAAGAAACATCGAGATAGATTTGCAAAATGGCCAGGTTTTGGCTTATGCAGTCTTCTGCGCATGCGCGAAAAGCAAAAACCTGCTTAGTTACATCCGATTAGTCACAAATTATGCTCTTAATCTTAAGGTATCTGCACCGGCAAAAATTGCCTCTTTTTGAATAATAAAATAAAATATTCCCTCTGCGTGTGTGTTACTTTTAATTCTTTGCTTTGATAATTTATACTTCCAACCTCCCAAAAGTTCATTTTAGCCACTTCTGTGTTAATTCTCCTAAAACCTTCCAAAAAAGAGAAACTGATTAGAAATGCATTTTTTTCGCTACTCGCTGGCGGTCGCCGCCGATCGCTTTGAAATCCCCAAACCAACCCTTACAAACCCTAATATGTTTATCTTACGTAAAAGCAATTCTCACTCCTGTGAGCTTGGGATACCTGTGACTACACAAGGGTAGGTAGTGCATCGTTTACTTTAAAAACAGCTTTGAGACGTTCTAAGAAATATTTCGTAGTTAATTTACCTGCAAATACCATCTCATCACAAACAACTCCTACCACCCCACCGTGACACTCTTCGTACCATGGGCCTTGGGTGCAGTTGAGGAGGGAGGAAGCACCGTAGTCGCAGTAAAATGAAGTGTGTAGAATTGACAAGTTACCAGCGCCAAATTCACTATCTCGATAGTGTTGTGTTGCCCAATTATAACCAAGCTTTCGACACACTGTATTGTGTACGTCACCATGGAAGTAATTGGAACAGAGCGTCCACCAAGTCTCATTGAAATAATATTCTATTCGTCCCTGATTTGGAGCACCCCCATCGGTAAGTCTCACATCACCTGTAAAGAAAATCAGAAAAACAATGAGATATTTCGTCAGTGACGATTACTTTCCTGCGCAGCTCGCAACAGAGGGAAGTGTGAAGTCATGTTAGCATGACAGCAAAATTGATGGCTAACAATCTTTCTTTCTTGCTTGAGACGACCATTTGCACTGTCCAACGATGGAAGAAAAGTATAGGCTACTATTCACCCCAAAGTGATACATGTGTTTTTTTATTATTATTATTATTATTATTATTATTATTATTATTATTATTATTATTATTATTATTATTATTATTATTATTACTTGCTTTTTTTGCCATATTTGCTGAGGACCATGGTTTGTTCTTGAGATCCCTTGGAATTGCTACGTGACGTAACGACCTCGCCTCGTTTGGACTAAATGTTGTTTAGTTTATTGACCAGTAGTACAAAAGGTTTCGAGAAAAACCGAAGCATACCAAGTGAATTGAAACAGGATTATTAATCATAGGTCAAACCAATAAAAGGCGTAATAAATGTTATAAGTTCAGTTGTATTTCCAATTAACATAGAAGGTTGAACTGATAGCATAGCCTTCGCTCTACATTCTGACCAAATTTGTTCAGAAATCTCCTCTTTACTCAACTGCCTTACATTCCTTCCATGTAAAATCTGTGCGACGGGGTCTTACCCCCCATACATTTTACTGTAACTGGAGAGAGGAAAGTTTGTATATACACCGCAAGGATACACTTTCAACAAGAAACTCACCGTCTGATGGATTGGCGATTACAAAGTTAACCACTGTCAAGAAAGAAGAACAGAAACTCGCAATTAAAATCACGCTTTCCTTATAAACAATCTTATCTTGATTTTGAAACAGGGCCCCGAGGAGTTAGTTTGTGTCCTTGATTTCAGTTGATTACATCGCCCAAATTCCCTTACTTCTCCTTCCCTTTCGAACGTCTGCCACGCAGGCTACCTTTGTTTTACTGCAGATTGACCGATCAAACAATCCTGCGATCGTGTTACACCACGTACCAACTAATCTGGCCCTGGTTGTTCAAACTTTAGATTATATAACACAATTGGTTTCCCTTATACTTATCCGCTAAATCCTGATAGTGATTAATATCCGGTGGAATTAGCACTATCCAAATTTGAACAACCGGGACCTGATAAAAATATTATCCAACACTCCGGAAAACCGCTGATGGCAATGACTGCGGACGAAAAACAACGACTAAGATGAAAGCTTTGCTTTCCGAGACACTTCCGAATGCGTTCCCCTTCCTGCAACGTTCGTTCCCACGGAGCATGGTCAGTATTAACACGATCGCATGACGGTTTGATCGGACAGTTTGATCGATTT